CATTCTATCAGGCACTACAAGTTGTAGGAACAGTCTTTGACAGTTGTCCCATCAATCCAGACATTAACAGTTTAAAAGCCACAAAAGAGAGTATTGTAGATATGGTTGAAAGTCCAATACTCAAAAGTCTAGTGTGGTATTCTTTGACAGTGTTTGTTCCTCCAGTGATTTACTTCAACAGCACCGTGAAGCGCTTCATGTCTGATTTAACACAATCTCCACTGAACTGCGGACAGTTAATATTCTATTCTAAGTCAGATAGGTTTGCTCCATACCAAGACATTGACTCTTATGCCCAAGCACGGAGAGACAAGGGAGTCAATGTTATATCCAAATGCTGGGACAGTTCAGAACATGTGAATCACTACAGAGAACATGCTGATGAATACCTTAGTGAACTGAACTCTTTCATTGACCAGTGCTTAATTAAATACCACAATGAAAAAGAGTTGTAAGTTATTGCCAGTTTAGGTATATATTATTGTGTATTTGATTTGACATTTGTATATAAATATAATGAGATTTTCTTTTGAAAATCATCCCTAGTTTACACCTGGGAGAGGGACTTGCATATGAAAGGGGTGGGGATGCTCTTCGTCTCCCTTAGGGGTGTAAATTTTGGATTTTGGTCTCACTTAGGGTGTTCTGGGCAAAATGCCATCACATGTAGCCCATATGTAGTCCATATGTAGCTGTGAAGGTCTCGTTTAGCGTTTCACATGAAGGAATATAAAAGTATATATTTAATGTTTTAAATATGGTCTCTTTTAGGGGTCAAAAAATCTGGGCCACGCCATGATTGGTCTCCTTAGGGGTTTAATTCAAAATTTCCGCTGAGCATCCCCACCCCTTTCATATGCAAGTCCCCCCCCCCTCCACCCCGGAGTTCACATGTAAACCTTCATTTATTTATTGCTGTTCAAAACTGTGGAAGTACAAGTTGAAACTATATGTGCATGTAACTGAGCAACTGTTAAGTTGAAAGTTTTGGCAAGGTATTGTGTTTCAACTCACCATATCAGTAATTCAAATTTATGATTACAAATAATGATTGTAAAAGAGAGTCATGTTTCCACTTAGAATAATGGGAAACACGTCACTTCAATTTTCAATATTTCCAAGGTGGTGCATGCCCCTAGACCCCCTAGCAAGGTGACACCTTTGTCATAAGAACAGATGGCTAGGCTTTCTGGAGTCCAACTCTTTGGCAACATATCTTAGCCTTGTCTATGCTGCATTTACATTTCTTTACTAAACCTTCCAGAGCCTTCTACAACACCTGTCATCTGTGAGGTTTGTGTGCTTGTAACTTTGTAACTAAATTTGTTTAGCTGCAGATATTATCAAGCAAGTAGTGTAAATGTAACAGCATTGTAATATGTAATTTGAATTTCTCCTGGATGTGGAATCTGATGTACACTTGAGCCTACTTTGGATTTACACTGGAAGAAGAATAAACTGCATTGAAGTCCACTTATGAGGGTCCTTGGTCTGTCTGGATTTCAGCTGCCTAAATATTTTCAGTATTTAGTGTGGGAATTGGCCGTTTCGAAATTGTTTATTGATGTGAGTTTCAATAAATTTGACACCACAACAAGAAAGATTGTATTGAGATTGACCATTTGACCAAGTTATGGACCTTGAAACATGGTTCAAAATGCATACATGTAGATTGTCAAACCACAGGGGAACCATACAAGCGGCGTGTCTGTTTGTATGTTCGAAATATAAAGAAATGTATGGGAATATTTAAAGAGTCTTAGTAGCGTAAACTGATATCAAGTAGTGTCCATGTTAAAGCTCAAAATAAACTTAAATCCACCTCAGTTGTTGTGTATTGTCGTTTCTGTGGCTCAAAATGGCGAATTTGAGCGATTTGGTGGGTATTGCATTGACTGTTACTACACGTTATAAGAAGGAGACATTGTTACTACACGTGATAAGAAGGAAGTCTGGGTCAACGCAAAACCCATCAAATCGCTCAAATTCGCCAGTTTGAGCCACAGAAATGACAATGCACAATAACTCAGGTAGATTCACGTTTATTTTGAGCTTTAACATGGACATTACTCAATATCAGTTTACGATATTATGACTCTTTGATATTCCCATACATTTCTTTATATTTCAAACATACAAACAGACACGCCGCTCGTATGGGCTCCTGTGGTCAAACGACTCTAATTTTGAGACAGTGTTACTGAAAACCAACCTCATTCCCAGGGTCTCTCATCAAAACCATACAAACTCTTAAAATATTCCAGAGGTAATTCTATCAGTTTTGTGAGAGTAGTAATGGTAGCTCATATGACCGGTAACCAATCAGGAGCCGAGAAAGACAATAGGCTATTCTTTGGAGAACAATGGATGCTATTGTTCTCCAAATCCAAGATGGCCACCACAAATTTTAGCCAATAGGAGCCGAATTAAGAATTCAAGATGGCGGCGCCTACGAAAGTCGGCCATGTTGGAAAACGGCCCACCAGCCTCGATGGAGGACTGGGATCGGTCTCACGGATTTCCATGACAACACAAATCACACCAGGGTCACGCAAAAAAAATGTCATGCAACTTCAAAATTGATACTTACAGTGTCCTGTGGTCCTAAATGACAGAGGTCCGTCCGGCAAGTGGCCAGACTGAGAGACTTGGGTCCGACTCTAGCCTATACAGGGTGTGGCAAAGCATCATGGACGATGACCTCATCGGTAACCAATCAGAGTGAATTAAAGTATTTACAGTGGTTGGCTTCCCCAGTCCCCCTCTCTTAAGGAGAGCACTAAACCAAACATCAATGTCAAATGTCACGAACTTTAATAGCAAATCTTTTGCGCTAACATTATAAGATATGACGTCATTGCCATGTTGATCAAGTAAAAAGACCAGTTTCTATCGTCATCACAATTTTTCAAATGAACTTTAATGTCCAAAACGTTTGCGCCAAAATTACAGAAAGCTGGTCATTGTGTCTCAAATCAGATAACACTATGAAAGAAATGCAACAGAAATAATTTGATCTAGCGTAAATGCAATCTTTGAAGAGTAGCGAATAATAAGCAAAGACAAAAATTTATAGGGTAAAAGGTGAGAAGAAAAATAAAAGTAGAAATGAATTGCTAATAGCGGTTTGCAATAAAATCTAAACTTCTTGATCTCGACTGTTCTCTGGAGAAAAGAATCATTCAAATCCATACGCTATTTACGAACAAGGTGTGTGTGTGTTGACGAAGGGGGAGAGAGTGTCATGTTAGATGAATGTTATTTTCTCATTATAAAATAATGTTATCATTGATCATTGCTTTTAGGACATGTGGTGGCTCCTAAAGGAGCCGTTTTTTGTTTTGATGCCTCAGAAGTAAGTCTAACGCATTCATGAGGAGTGCGATAGTCTCTTCCTGTTCTGCTATTCTTTTACGAAGAAGCAACTCCTTAGAGTGCNGAGCTGTCAATGCCGCGTTCTCAGTACAACAGACACTGGATGTTGTGTACTGAAGTTCGCCAGGTCAACCACAGTAGAGCGTAACTTAAAAAAAAAAACAAAAAAAAAAAACCAGCAGAAATTATACGTTTATTAGAAACAGGCTTAGGTGAAAGCGGTAAAAACTAAAACGGAACATCCATACGATTGCCTTATCTAAGTGTCCTTAAGAAACGAACAAAAGAGTGCAAAATTTACGATGCAAACAAAAAAGAAAACAAGCACTGACTTCACAACGCGACTTACGTCTGATCTTGTCTCCGAGAGCGAAAATCCACAATGGAGGTCACAATGCTCTAAGAACTTATCCTTACAGCAGGGCAACTCTTAATAACTAAAAAACGTGCTTGAGGAAATGGTTTTAGTACAATGTTCTGACGTGAAGGAAACTGCTTTGAACAACAACGCTTTGGGAGGCCAGTCAAAAACAGATACAGTAAAATTCCGGTTATAAGCCTTGGGCTTATAGAGCTTTATAAGGGGTTTTGGGTGGGCTAATAAACGGGGTGGGGTGGGTGGGGGCGGGTGAGGGTGCCTATAACAGGTATAAAAAAGTCTCGAACTACGCTGCTGAACTGAACATCAGCAGTGTGACCGAAGAGTACCCGAAACAGAGAGGTCGTTGTGTAAAGCTTCCTCGTATAATGGCAAATACCGGCGAGGTAAAGTAAAGGGAAACTTACATACGGCGGGAGCGGGGTATAACCGGAATAGTTTTTTTTGTATGCATGTAGTTACACCTGTAACAGGGGGAGGGAGGGGGCGGGGGAGGGCAATAACCCGGATATTTTCGATATTCGATGATCACGTAATTATGACAGTCAAGAAGAGCAAACGCTAATAAGCATTTATCAAAAGTCCTTTGTGCTGGTGACCTGAAGATCAAAACGGTGACTTAGGAGGTTTTTAGATCGTCAATCCTCCAATAAGTGCAAGTGAATCAACAAAAGTGAGATAATCCAGGCAATAAATAAAACTAAAAGAAACTAAGAAGGAAAGTTAAAATCAGTCTTCTAACGGCAGTAAATACTCAGCAAAGAAGGATGTGTCTGATACACGTCCCTGCTTTCGCGTAAAGCTAAATGTAAATATCTAGACAAACCGTGATGACAGAAAGATAACAGATAGAGTTGCTAAAAGGAATAAGCTAAGAGCTACACTGAAGGTGAACTGGCGTCAGATTTAGGCAGCCACGTTCCTGTCACAAGTACTAAAGGAAGAAATAACAGTGCTGTTCTATCCGAATGAGTAACCGAACAACAGTTGAGAGTAAATGTGAGCACTAATCAAACTTTGGAATACCATGCTACACTTGTTTACACTTGTTTGCTTGTTTTTTACGTTCTGCAGGATTCTAGTTATATTGGCACTGTTCCACTGAAAACGTGACTCGCATCAAATTGTCTTTGAACGCTTTAAAAAAGGTATGTAAAATTGTCTGTGACTTTACAATCAAAGACCTCTTTAAGCCACCTATTTCTAAATGCAGGGGATAAATGGAATCATTTTTGATGTCATATGCCTCATAGACTTTTGAATTTGACACCATCATTTTTGACCAGGGGGAATTTTTCTAAAACAATATTTTGTTGACTTCTGTGGGTGCAGGAGTTTTGTGAGTGACGATTGGGAATAGCTCATTGTGGGTCTCAGTTTTGGTTTTCGCTCTTGCTGTGCATGACCCTGAAAATTTCCCACCGTTTTCTCCGACAAAATATATGTGGACAAGAATGCATGTCAATCGAGGGAAACACGCCATTGCATATGACAAAGCTAAAAGACAAGTCTTGTTCAGGTTTATAAATCTTCGAAACTATTTGGAATCAAAAGGTGTTCTTCTGCAATCGCCGAAAATCTTCGGGTGATGTTCGAGAAACTTCGAAAACCTTAGAAAGTGTTTGGAACATTACATTTATCTTCGGATATCTTTGAAAGGCTTCGGGTGAAATTCGACAACATTTGAAATACCTTTGTGTTTCTCCGTGCAATAAACTTCGGAAATCTTACCGCTTGTATTACAACTTTGCATTTCTGTTACACTCGCGAGAGGCGTTTACATATTTTGGTTAAAATCATTCATAAATAGCTTTACAGCAATGTTGAAGTTGTAAAGACGCAAATGATCATGGCAGTTGTATGAACAACCATAGTTAATAGAGGGAATGGTTAAGAAGGCCGGTAAACATGAAAGAAGCAAATAAACAGACTTGTGTCGGAAGGCCCTTGACCCTGCGCTTCTTTAGGCTGATTGACTATGCATGAATTACATAATCGCAATGCTACTATTGGTTAGTTGTATGAGCACACGTAACCACCTTTTGTATTTTGCCAGGTTTTGTGCAGGGTCAATCCCCAAAATAGCGAACAAAAACATACAACAAAGAACTTTACCAGGTTTCCTAGCCATTTCCCTCAATTAACTATGGTACAACTTAACAGTTGTGAAAACAAAGCCTTAAAACTTCAGGCTCGAATCCATGACCTTTGAGAATACCAGTGCATTGCACCGGTATCCCAGCCGTCATAGGCCGGGTTCAAATCCCGTCCAAGCCTGTTTTGTCCTGTTTGTTTTTTTCAGGCTATACTTACACAGCTGCTTAAGTTGTGTACATATCTGCAATGCTCATTCATAAGCCCCAGTTAGCCATTCTTTAAGAATACTAAGCGAAAAAAAAAAAAAAAAACGTGACACTTCTTTTGATAAGAACGTCAAATCCTACTACGAGCGAAGAATCGCCATGGGATACTGGCATGCAATGATGTTCTCTATTTTCCGGCGAGCTACTTCAATATTTCGACTTTTGAGCCGTAAATTCCTTTCAGAAACTAAAGAAATTCATGCAGCGTGCGTAAGTAGAGTTTTCCAAGGTTTCGAGCAGACTACTGAAGAAATACGAGACAGAGATAAGGCGGCAAGGTTTCAAGATCAAAGAGGTCAAAATCGGTGGTGTTGCAATCAAGAGATGGCTCCAGAAGAACGAATACAATGCAGTCACCCCAAAACGCAGACCATGCAGACTGCAGACTGCAGACTGCAGACTGCAGACTGCAGACTGCAGACCGAGCAGACCATGCAGACTGTGCAGACCATGCAGATTGAGTACGTTTTTTCTAACACTTGACGCATATTATTTCGGTTCTAGTTACAAAACTGTGTTCAATATATCTGAATGTTTCCACAGGCTGCACAAAAACACCATCTAACTGTTGATTCAATAGACGTTTCATAAAGTTTGTATCGGAAATTCTCTTTAGTCCTAAATATACTAAAATGAAACATAGAGATAAACTTCATCTACCTCAACATAGGGTGTTCTTCCATGCATTTTGGGCGCAAATTCGCGTCTATTTTTAACGTGTGGATGTGGCTTGCCGTTTTATTTATTTATTTATTTTTTGTTCAATTTGTTGTTGTAATAATAATAATAATAATAATAATAATAATTTATTTAAGTGTCGATGTATTTAGCACTAATGTGCTAATTAGGGACACTGTAAATAAATAAACAAATACTTCAAATATAACATAAACTATTAAGAATCCCAACTGGTGGGAGGCTGACCAGTTGGCTATTTACACAACGCGGCCGAGGAGTTGAACTCGGGGCTACCGAGAACAAATCCAGAAAGCGGTAGGGCGGAGGATTTAAACCAGGGACCTCCAGATTTCAAATCCAGCGCCCTAAACCACTCGGCCACGCCACCTCCTTGTTTTGTTCTTTTTTGATTTTCGTTGTCTTCGTTCCTCCTCATAAGTGAAGCAAGGACGGTTACTCGAAGCTACGTCTTCCCACAAATTGCTTTTGCATCACAAAGCAACATACCCCCATCAGACTAGGAGAATTCCCTCTTTCGCTTAGTTCGTTGAGCGTGACCGTAAATAAACCTCGAGAAAAAGTTCTTTCCTCGAGGATTGCTTTTGCGTCACGCACGACGCACTAGGCGAAGGAGGGTCCACTCTTAGTCTTAATCGCCATAAAAATACCACTGCCATAAGGCCAGATAAATTTACCATCACACGAACTCATCACGACAACCGTATTGCGCTGAGAATTTCAAATGATATCGATATTCGGTTTTCTGTAATCTCTCCATGCGCTCGGCTTTTTTGGCGTGATCGTAGTCACGCTCCAACAGCCACTTGGAATTATATCTGGTACACGAAGAGTAGAAAATGCACATCTTACTTGCGAAGTGAAAAGTGAAGTATATTTCTACATTTTAAAATAGCTTTACTTAAGCATATTTAGAACTAAAGGGAGTTTCCCTTACAAAATCTATTGCGCGCTCGTCTATTGAATCAATAGTCACATACCGAGTTTGCGCGACCTGTACATAAATGGTCAGTAAATATCAAACACTCTGATGTATAACTGAACACTATTTTGTGACAAGAACCAAAAAATGCCAGTCAAAAGTAAATGCGAAAACTAGAATAAGAAAAAAAACTCCGTCTGCACAGTCTGCATGGTGTGCGTTTTGGTGTGACCTGCTACAGTGTGAAAGAGAAGACTGCGTGGTGTGCAGAACAGATGGGAAAGGGCCGTGCGATAGACTAAGTGTGACTTACGAGATCAAGTGTACCAAGTATAACAACGTGTACGTGGGCGAAACATGCTGATTTAATTAACAAATAAAGAAGCCTAAGCCGTGTATCACACCGTGATAAAACACGACGGGCATTTGAGAACACGAGGGAAGCGTGTTTTCGAGTGTTCTCAAATGTTCGGAGTGTTTTATCACAGTGTAATACACGGTTTAGGCTTCTTCATGTGCTTTATGACATAGATTTTACACGCGCAAAACAATAAAACACGCTTTTTCTATGTTTTATACTGTGATAAAACATGGGGTTTTTTGACTAATCAGAGCGCGCGCAGGGTCCCATCTATGTTATAATACTCTTTGTATGGGTGTACCGGCGCAGTAAACCACGCGGGATGTTGGGAGAACACGAAAAAAGCTTGTAAATCAAGAGCCGTTAGGCTTTTCTCTTGTTCTCCCAACATCCCGCGTGGTTTATTGCGCCGGTAAACCTATGGAAAGAGTGGTCTATCGCTTTTATAAAATAACTATGGAAAAAACCTGGCAATGGGAGGAAAATTTGTTGTACCTTTGTGATCAAGTTGCTTATTCTCATCAAATTCACGAGGTGACGCGACAAACCAATCACAGCGACTGAAAGAATGAAAGCACAGACTCCGCGCCGGAATTTATTTACTTATGTTGAGGGCTATGAAGTCCGTGTTTCTCCGTATTTTGGTAAATGAAAACTATTGCCTGAAAGCTACGCTTATGGAAACCAAATTCATTTATCTTGTTATGCATTCATGCATTGAATTAAACTCAAAATTTCTGATAGAAAGAAATATTTTCCCTGCCTTTTTGACAACCCAAATTGATCAGTCAAGCCCAGCTGACTCTGTCCTCCACAGTCCGTGGAAAGCACCGAAAAAAGGATTTAAAAACTTCCTTAATTTTAATCTCAAGCGTAACCGGAGTCGGCGTAGAATTTTTGCCGTGGAAAAAACAGATAAAGCTTTATATGACGACCAACTTCTTGTCTTTTTTTTCCTTGCAAATTTCTATGTTGAATAAAAAAGATATTCGTGTTATTGATATCTCAGCAAGTGAAAGGCAAAACTGCTTATCACATTTGTTATCGCTAAAGTTCGGATATCTCTAATTCCCGCGTAGAGCTGCCATAGATCGGGAACCGTGGTTAACCGGTACAATAGAACATAGGTTTAGCAACTCTATTGACCAATCAGAGCGTGCGTAGTATCTCAGTTATTTTATAATATAAGATATTTCGTTGCGAGTGTTGTCTGTAGTCGCCAAACGCCAAATGTATGATTTCTTATTAAAAAACAAACATCTGCTTAAAATGCTCGTTTGTAGCCTGATACGTATTTTCAACTATATTAACTGATCTTACAGACCTAAAGACTATTTTACTGCAGAGATTAGACCCACAGGCAAGCATTTCTGGATCGATGTTGGAGATAATGATCGCGGCGTGAAAGGTAGAATGTCAGGCGATTACCTCAAGTGTCTAGTCTTTGAGACGCTCTCAATTTATTTTGTTTTATTTACCTAAGCGAGATTTGCGAAACAAACTTAGCTCAAGGTCATTCCCCAGTATTGCAGTGCGCATCCTTACTGCGCATAATTTCACACGTGATTAGCGCGCGCGCATTAAAAAATGGCGGCTTTTTCTTTACGGTTGGACCATAGAGGTAAATTGTCATTTCCTCGAAAACGAGTTTGGTGACCTATCATTTTTTTCTGTTGTTTCGAATTGAGTAATAAATTTCTCTATGTAAAATAAATATGAGTCAATTCTCAGTGTAGAACAAGAAACAATCGTCGGAAACGTGAATTTCGCAAGCAATCGTGACTATAATCATGGTGCTATTATAAG